GCAAAAGCACCACATACGTCACGCTTACGTCGAGGCGGGGGCAGGGGCAGGGGCGGGATCAACTCCTGAACAACAACAAGAAGCCCGCGTTTTATCCAGCTTGTACACAACGATGGAGAAACTTAACAAGCAGCAGTGGTCCACTGAGGAGACCAGCTACCTACTGGGAATCTGGTCTTCCGAAGAGGTACAGAGGAAGCTGGAGCACAATCGGCCATTGTTGTTGTTGTCGGTGTCAGCTGTGAGGGGTTTCCGCGCGGTTTGGCTTTATGAAGCAGGCACGCAAACGGTTACGTCATGACGCGAACGATGACGCAATGACGCAGCACCAGTCGGACTCTGGGCAGTGTGAAAAGAGCCTCCGCTAAACCGAAGAACCGGTTCTGAACCTGAAAAGCTCTAGCACGGAGCTTGAACCGGAGTTACGTTGGTGTGAATGAGGTATCTGGTGCACCTGTAGAAGGTCAGGATCCTCTCTATGGTGCACCTGTAGAAGGTCAGAATGCTCTCCATGGTGCACCTGTAGAAGGTCAGGATCCTCTCTATGGTGCACCTGTAGAAGGTCAGGATCCTCTCTATGGTGCACCTGTAGAAGGTCAGGATGCTCTCTATGGTGCACCAGAAGGTCAGGATCCTCTCTATGGTGCACCTGTAGAAGGTCAGGATGCTCTCTATGGTGCACCTATAGAAGGTCAGGATGCTCTCTATGGTGCACCAGAAGGTCAGGATCCTCTCTATGGTGCATCTGTAGAAGGTCAGGATCCTCTCTATGGTGCACCTGTAGAAGGTCAGGATGCTCTCCATGGTGCACCTGTAGAAGTTGCAGAGTATCCTGGAGTCCATGTTGAACTTCTGCAGCCCGCGGAGGAAGAAGAGCTGCTGTTGAGCTGTTTTGGTGATAGTGTTTGTGTGAAGAGTCCATGTCAGGTCCTCAGTGATGTGGACACCGAGGAATATGTGTTCCTCTGGTCCAGGTGTGAGAGGGCAGTGTGGATGGTGTGGGCTATGGCGTCATCTGTGGACCTGTTTGCTCTGTAGGTAAACTGCAGGGGGTCCAGAGAGTCAGGGAGGGAGGAGGTGATGAAGGTTTTGACTAACCGCTCAAAGCACTTCATAATGATGGAGGTGAGTGCTACTGGGCGGTAGTCATTGAGGCTGGTGATTATTGTCTTTTTGGGGACAGGAACGATGGTGGAGTATTTAAAGCATGGTTCATGGTACATGGTTCGGGCCCCTAGTTAGGATGCCACCTGGGCACCTCCCTAGGGAGGTGTTCAGGCACGTCCAGCTGGGAAGAGACCAAGGGGTAGACCTAGGACCAGGTGGAGGGATTATATCTCTTCGCTGGCCTGGGAGCGCCTTGGGATCCCCCAGTCAGAGCTGGTTGATGTGGCCAGGGAAAAGAAAGTTTGGGGCTCTCTGCTGGAACTGCTACCCCCGCGACCCGACCACGGATAAGCGGGAGAAGATGGATGGATGGGACTACAGACTGCAGCAGGGACCTGTTGAAGATGTCTGTGAACACCTCTGCCAGCTGAACTGCACACACCCTGAGAACACGGCCAGGGATGCCATCAGGTCCAGGAGCCTTGTGTGGGTTAACCCTTTTAAAGGATTTGCACACATCTGCCCTGTTTAAAACAAAAGGGCATGGCTCCTGATCCTTCTGTGCCTCCACAGCCTGGCTGCTCTCAAACTACTTTGTCTTTGTTTGTGTGTCTCTTTGCACTGATGATAGGTCTCCGGAGCGCGTAACTTGATTTCCTATACTCTTCAAAGTCTCCGCGCTGTCAGCTTGGCACGCAACTCGCCGTTTATCCAGGGCTTCTGATTCAGGAATGTTCGGACAGCAATCTTCGGTACTATGCCATCAATGCATTTGCACTGTATACTCCGTGTCACCGGCCTGTCCCGTTTAAGTTTCTGCTTGTAAGTAGGCAGCAGCAGCAGCAGTGAGAGGTTGTCTAATTTGCCTCAGGGAGGGCGAGGGAGAGCTTTATATCCATGTCGGAAAGGGGAATAGAAGTTAGAAGTCGTTAGTCCCTGGCCACAATACAAGTCTACTCGGTAGAGGAGGCCGGTTCCCACGTTTCATCAGCCTCACTAGCACTCCGACCCTGGATCTCCTCTTCATCCTGCGCCGCTCAGGTACAGCAGCAGCAACGACAACAGGTAGCCATGGTGATTCCCCATTGTTTGCAGGTCTCGTTGATAGTGGTCAGCTGTCCACCAAGTTTCTGATGTGTAGAGGTTCCTCTCTCCCATATTTGATTTCTTTAATACATGATAACTGTGGTTTAGTTTTTTGCCTCAGGGAAAGATTATGCAGTAAGTCTAATTTAGTTGAGGCAATATTATGCTTGTGTTTGTACTTGTGCTCAGATGCAAGATGATGGTCATAGGGATTTACTGTACTATATACTGAAATAAGACACACTCACCTTTAATGGCCAGAAGGTGTTTGCGTGTGTCTGTGTGTGTCTGTGTGTGTGTGTGTGTGTGTGTGTGTGTGTGTGTGTGTGTGTGTGTGTGTGTGTGTGTGTGTGTGTGTGTGCACATCTGTCATATGCCCCTAGTCAAAAAAGTGTAACACTGATCAAAGAATAATCCAAACAAAAACACATTCAGACACACGCATTTGCACGTATAGAGTCAGGAAGAGGTCTGACAATTCAGGTCCAAACACACACACACACACACACACACACACACACACACACACACACACACACACACACACACACACACACACACACACACACACACACACACACACACACACACACATGAATATTGTGACCAAAAGAGTTTCAGATAAGTCAATTGTGATATCAATAGAAATGTTAAATAATCATTTAAATACATCAAATCAAACTAGTCTTTACCTTTGTTAGTTGTAAGGGTGAGAGTTTTAACCAGAACTGTACAATAGCATGCAAAAAGCACCATAACAACACCATCAGATTAACTGATGACAAAAAATCCAAGTCCTTTCATCTGCCATGTGATATTATTATATTTTATGTCTATAATTACCTTAACATTTTTTATTTCATTTTAGATATTGCCGTCAAAATCACAACATATATTTATTTTTTTACATTTTTTCGATAGTATAGAAGAGAGACAGGAAAGTGGGAGACATATAGCAAAGGGCCACATGTCAGGTTCTCCCACTTAGGACATGGGGCAACTACTCTACCAGGTGTGCTACCGGGCCCCCCACAAAATAAATATTCTCAAATGATGTGAATACTTGAAGGATGGAGGAAATGGCTGGGAGTTAAAGGTCACCACAGCTTTAGCCTAACATCCTGAGGTTTAAAAAGCACTCACATTGTGTTTTCAAAGCAACAACCTGTTTAAAAATATTTAATATATATAATATATCATGTTTTATAAACACATCTTTAGATATTGCTGTCAAATTCTGTAGTAAAATAGGTTTCCTATTAAATGTAGTGGAGAAGATTTGCAAATATGCAAATGCAGCACCTAAGGCCTCTGTTACTCAAAATAGAATTCCACAGTTTATATTTTCCATGCAGATGTATTCCCTACATTACCACTATATTTTCTTTCAATAACTACAGAGATATATGAGCCCTCATTTTGCTCAAGTGCTAAACTTACACACATAGAGACTCTTGCATAGCCAGACACTTCCATAATCTGGCATCAAGGACCCACATGCAGATAGAGATCACTCCATGGGTCTGCGATACGAGTGACCTAAAGCAACCCATGCAATAACATTGTTTAAGTTTTGTATAGAATTTCACATCTGTCTGCACTGTAGATGGAGACTGTGTTAATATGTGTTAATTGCATTTATCTCTCTCCCTTGCTCGGTCCCATGCCCACTTTGGCTGTGAGCTGCGGACGCCTGATAAGCCACACCCCCCACTTTCATCACTTACAGCACCCATCGTACAGGGCAAATGAAAAGTGTAACCGGGGTGAAAAGGGTGTTACATTTACTTAATTATGAATGTTGTTACATTAAGGCCGAAAATTAGGATGAGCACAAACAGTCAAAAATGTTTTTTCCCTCCCAGAGCCTCCCCAGATCTGGCGCCCATAGGCGACCGCCTATGTCGTCTATGCCAAAAACCGGCCCTGTACACCATGCTAAATGTATGTCTACATAAAGCTAAGAGTTATGATCGGTCACATAGAATTTGGTGATGATTAAATAGTTTACAGTGAGATTTACTCCCATACATTTGGCCATACTCACGCAGCCCTACAAATGAATTGAGATTTCCACACAAATGTTCTTTAGCAAGTGTGCAGAGCAGTGTTGATTTAAAAAAGCAATTTGAAGGTTGGATATTTGTAAACCCTTTTTTTGTGTATATATTAATAATTTAAGATGTACATTTTTATTTGCAATACTTTCTATTTTTATTGTGACATTTGGTGGCATCAATGTGTGCATTTGATACAGATAATGGAGCAGTTGCTTTAGGGCCACAGTGTCCCTAAAGGTCAAATAATGAGATCCTCGACCTCCGCCCCCCTCTCCCACCTCCACACAGAGCCCCCCCACATATCAAATCCCAATTTAACCCCTGGTAAGAGCATACCATATTTCTTGTAAAAGGGGCAGATTTAAATTCTACTTTGTGAGCTATATTGTTTTGTAGACCAACACTTAAGGTTATAATCTGTACAACGACTGAATTAATTTGCTTTAGGATTTTCACTCTTTTTGGTTGACATTTTGATTTATTTTGTCTTGTCGGCTTATTTATTGGCGTTGCTTTTGATATTAAGGTAATCCAAAAGTAACGGAAAGTGCTTTGGTAAGTTTATATATATTTAACTTTATTTTAAGTAATGTCTCGTCTTTTATCTGAGTCTGTGATAAAGTTGTTTGACTTTGAATGCTGTCTGCGGGACCTCCTGACGCTCGTGCAGGGGCTCGCGAGGAAGGTGTGCAGCAACAGCCCGTCTCGCGCACAGCTCAGCCTCCTCCCTCTAGGCCCCGCCCCCAGATGAAGCCCCCAGTAAAAGGCAGATAGATAGTAGTGAACTGTTACAACTTTGAGCGAGAGGGGCTGTTTATCCACACTTTGCTAGAACAATATCACGTAAGTTTTGACCGCTCGCGTTTCCACCAAAAACAACGGGATGGTGTAAATGTCCAGCCGAGAGAAGACGTTTAATATCCGCATCCCGCGAGCGACTTCACTTCCAGCAAGTTTGGGCATTTTCTGGAGACTGTGCATGGTACGTTCTCAACACGTTCAAGATTTGTGCTTGTTTTTGGAGTAGTGTGGTTTATTAAAAGACTGTCATTGTACACCGTGTCTGTAAATAAGATGTATTGTAAAAATATGTTTTTCCAGTTAGCTGTGTTTACCTAACCGCCCATAAATCCAGCTGAACATCTGTCTCTTGAATGCTGCGTTCTCCTTCTCGCTGCTCCTCTACAAGCTACAGGCTATTAGCTAATGTTGATATCCAATGATATGCTGTTTTGGTCATGTTTTATTAGAAAACAGGAAATTAACATAAAACGGAGGTAAACAGAGTGATACTCCAGTGCTTTGAGAGGTGTTCCCTGCTGCAGATAGAGAACAGCATGCTCTTATGACAGGGGAACCGTGTAAGATCTGGGTTGAAAGCAGGACGAGTCAACAGGAATCTCATTTTTGCAAATGACATTGAAAACTGCCTATAATTAAGGGTGAACGTGATTTGCACTGTTTTTTTTAACCAACAATACTGTTATTATTTGGACCCTGGAGAAACAGATTATTTTAATAAATGATCACTTGGCTTCTCAACAATGTTAACTGATGTGTTGCACTAAGGGATTGACACTAACCTTAATTAATTGATGCTGTTTATTGAATGTGTTTTCAAATCTGTCAATGGATATTTTAGGAAAAACATTTGAAATCTTCATAACCAAAATAATGCATTCAACTTACTTTATGCATTTTTGGACTGAACAAAAAGAAAGCAAAAGCCCAAGATTATGTTTTTCATTTGCAAATGTGTACTACCTAGAGTCTGAAATCCAACATTATTCAAATATCCAACAAAACAAAAACTAATGAATGTTTTACTATATTACTGCAAGGTGGGACGTTTTCTTTCAGACATTAAACATAGGACAAACATCGTAAACAGATGGACACAGGTACAAAATCATTACTAAATAGTACATCATGTATCGATAACTGGAAACATAGTCTAAGCTTAAATCACCCTGAGGTGCATGAGCTCAATCAGAAAACCCTTTCATTTGAGAACCAGAACAAGCATGTTAGTCTTCTTCACTACAAACTATTTCATGAAACCTGAACCTTTTTTTTATGTTCATTTTAAGTCAATTACTTATCCTTTGAGGTCTATTTCAGGACATTGGATATCAAAACAAAAAACTTCAAAGTGACATGCATAAAGTATTATGACTACTGCAAAGTAACTGGACTTATTATGTTAAAATTAGAGCTGCAGTGATTTGTGTAGTTAGATTCGCCGATTGACAGAAAAATGTCTATTTGATACTTGATTAATCATTTAGATTATTTCTCATGCAACAAAGTCAGAAAATGCCTCTCAAATATTTCATTGCTTCTGTTTTGTTTCACATTTAAATGCTTCACCTTGCACTCTTTCTGAAATGTTTTGGAGCTAGAACATAATTGATAATGAAAACATGCATTCATTGCAGCCCTTACAGGGGGTCCCGGGGTCTTAACAAGTATTAAAAGTTGATCAATCAATTTAGCGAAAATGAAGGCTATTAAAAAGTATTAAAGGGCATTTCCCAAGGTGTTACATTTTGTAGCTTGTTTTCAATTAGTATATAAAGTGTCCAAAGAGGTTGTGTTCTACAGTCTGCCTGAATGTAATCATTGCGTAGGTGTGTAGTGTGATTCTGTGTAGTTTATTGATGGCATCCCGTTGGGTTTGACGTCATCTGAACAGGACATCGCACGCTCACTGCTTGATAGCGCGGAGGTCCGTTTACGCCGGTTGTTAAGCAACATCGTTATGGGGAAATGCAAGTCTGCGTCCAAATGGTTGGAAGATAAGGAGGAAGGACAATCAATACTGTAGTCAATGTGAGGTGAAGTGTGTCACCAAGGTAACCGGTTAAAACTCCAAGTGGCGATGAGGTCTTAAAATGTATGGAAAGGGTCTTAAAAAAGGTCTTCAAAGGTTTTACATTTGACTTCAGGATTCCTGCATATACCCTGCCTTAGTATAACATATGTGTCAAGGATCTGTTTGGATGCTAACGCCGTTGTCAAAGGTGCACATCATGCACATCATGCACAGGTGTCAGGGTGTTTCTCTGCGCTGTAGCGTGCAGGGACAGAGAGCACTGTTAGAAATAAGGGTGTGATAACACTTGTAATCAGTCAGTCAGAGCGGTGCTTTTGTGATAGAAGGAGAAGTGGGAGGTTTGATGGTGTGTTAGTCCTTAGCCAGTAGTTACACTTGCACTGAAAGAAGAGAAGAGCTAATACGAGGTTCATTCAGCAGGTCATGAACATATGACTTATGACACATGCTGGTGTTGGATGAGTCATTCTTAACGTCTTACTCCTGTACCTCAACATGCAGTTTGTCCCACACACACTGGCTCAGCCTTTCGTGTGCAGCTCTCTCTCATGGCTTTGTGATTAGGGGAACATAGTATCTTCCCTCTGGACATAACAACACTTAACTTCAGCGTATGCATACGTGATGACACAGATGTAAGCCAGGACCTTTAACATTGAAGTGGCCACAAGTATGTACCTTGGTTTCGGTAATGTGCACTGCAGTACGCTCAGTCTGGAGTCTGTGTACTGATGTACTTTCCAGATCTTCTTTGGGTGAAATAGTTGCTCGGCTTAGACGGTCAGGGTTGAAGAGAAGTCACATGAGGTGATTTAAAGTTGTTGCTGCAACACAACCAGCACCGAGGCATGAGTAAAACCCCTACTCTCAACCCAAAACAGATTACCCTTCATTTACATTACACGCTTGTTAAAATTGTGATAGATTCATTTCAAAACATACTAAGAACACTTTCTATCTTTAATCCCAACCTTAACCAACAGATTAAGCTTCCTTCCGTCTTGAGTGCTCCTTTCCTTTGATCTGGTCTGACTCACCGAAGGCATTGCAACACAGTTTACCTTCGTTTAGTCATTGAGGAGAGGAAGGTCACAGAGAGGCATACATCAAACAGAGGGCACTGGCTCTCCTTGACTAGCTGAAAGTGTAATATTTGTCATGATCTTCCAAAGTTACTTCCCAGGCCTTGGATCGCCGCACAGTGAAAGGCCCTTTGTCCAGTGCAAGCTGCTTGCACTGCAGAGCGATGCACCTTAGGACTTTATGCACCACCTCCCCACACACCCTGTACGGTTCACCACGAGGCAGATAGGAGCACACATCTGTTTTTACCACTCTGCTTATACTGAGGCCGAGTGCAATTCCTGTCACAGCACCTTAACCACATGAGTTTAAAATTCAACTCAAGTTACAGTTTTGTTGTTTTAAGAATCAGATATCACTCAGAGAAGTAGTTTGTGTAAAACTTTTTCAGTGGACCACTTCAAACATGTTACGCAACCTAGAAATAAAAACATATTGGTTCAAATGTTTCTCCAGAATACATTTGTATAAAGTTATTATTTTTAAAATTCCCTTTTGAGGCTCGATTCAAGATAAAAAAAAATAATAATAATTGCATTATTCCAGATATCATGGGCCTGCACTTGTGTTAGTCAGAATCATCGACTGTTTATTTAAAGGTCAGAATGCACTGCTTTCAGAAATGATGAAAACCTAGCCTAGATGATCCTCCCTGTTCTGATGCAATGGCAATGATGATTTGTCTATTTACTATAACATCTCTCTTTTGTAGGCAAAGCCACAACAACTAAATGAATATTATGTTGTTTTAAGGTGCTTCACTTAAAATATTTTCATTTATTTTTTAATAATTATTACAGATAATTAACCTGCTTTTAAAATCCTCCTGCCTCTCTTTTACAGTAACATCTTTTACTTCAGTAACATCAAGTTTTTCTTTTGGCAAATAGATAATAATGCAACTTTTGTCAAGACTTATTTGTGGAACCTGTATCAAGGCGTCAACCTCTGGGTGGGTTTTTCCCACGGCAGCGGCTGACTGACATCTGGTGGGCGTGTTGCTCGGAGATATACAGTTTAAACAGTTTACTGTCTACGTGGTGGGCTTCAACTAGATACTGTGATCGGCTTATATATCCTTCAAATCTCGCTTTGTTTGTTTTTAATGATATCTTATTTTTATCACACACATAATAACACTTACAAACCCACATTCAAAAACGTAACAATAAATGCAAAAACAATGACCACACATAGATAAATCCAACAGCGTGTCAGCTTATATTATTAAGAAAAAATACGTCAAAAATAAATCAAAAATGGATATCCCTCAGTAGGGACCGCTAACAAACGGGAGAGTAAATATGAGAGTCCAGGACCATGTCAATAGATATGTTTCCGCCTTTATGAAAAAGCTCTCATAGCTTTGGTTAGCCTTTTTCAGCCGCCTTTCCTTTCACAATATTCAACATGAGGGAGGACCCATCGTGTGGCTCAGTTGTATTTCCTTAAAAAGGGAAAGCTAGCAAGCTGGGCTAGCAAGTGTCCATTTGGATAGCTAGATATCATAGCTCAACTGGTTCCCACTGTAAGTTACCTATCATGTGTTTATCCCACTATAAAGGAGGGAGGCTATCAGCAGTCCCACTCTTACATGGTTCCAGTTGGGCTGAGGTTTAATGACCTGACTGCCAACAATCCCAGGAACAAGAAGTATATACTAATATACTAATACTTTCGTTTCAGTTTGACTTCATTTCATAAAGTAACATGACAATGTTTAACTTATTTTACCTTTTTATTAGTTAGGTTAGTTGGTTAAGAGGAACTCTGTTGATTGTGTAAAAAGTGTTGGACATCCTCAGTGTTTAACAGTACATGGACGTATTGCTGCGTCCTGTTAGTCAATGTTTGGGGTCACATTACTAAAGTTAAAGCTTTAGGCGAGGTCATGCTGATTAGCATGGTAAGTACTAATCTGCTTACTTAAGACCCCTCTGGAGCATCAGTGTTTCCTGGCCCTCTCAATTAAAGAGTGTTAATAACCTGTGGCATGTCCCAAAGTGTTTCACTCCCAGCAAGCCGGTCAGCCACACTTTTCATACACTGGCACGGAAAGGTGTGTGCAGCACGGCCCTTTGAAGCATGCATGAGCCCCAATTAACCCTCCTGGATTAATCCGCTGGCCTCTAAACTGCTGCTTCTCTTGTCTCATCTCATCACTCCCACAGGGTGTATATTAACCAGAGCCCAGTTCCCTGCTGTTTGTCCATGCTCAATGCAACCTGCTTCTTCTTCTGGTTGACTTTCTCTACTTATGTTCACTTTGCAGTCGGTGCTTGGAGTTGACTTTCTGCAGACTGCTTCATAGAGAGGAACATCCTTGTGAGGAGCAGGAGAAAAGGCCTGTTTGCCCACCTTCCTCATACTGGAAACGCCAGGATGGCTAGGAGATTCCCCATTCCCTTGTTACTTCTGGCAATATGCTGCTTGGCATCTGCAGGTAAGATCCTCTCATTGCTAAGCTACATGTGAAACAAATAGAGTTATCATATATAATGACAACATTAGATTACACTTTAGTTTGCTTACATCATTTTATGGGTAGTTAGTGCTTTTCATTAGAGAGATATTATTAAGTGACTAATTGGAACTTTCTTTTAAATTGATCCTAAATTGAGCTAGAGTACTGCAGCCGGCAGTCATTAAACAGTTTGAAATGTTATCGTAGATAACTGTTTTCCCTTCCCCCATTATTTGAACATCTTCTGAAACATTGCAACAAGTGACTTGTTACCAATCAGAATCAGAAATCCTTCAGAAATCCTTTATTATTCCCACTATTCCCATTATTTATGAAAGACAACAGTGAAGACAAAAGGCGCATTCACACCGCAGTACTTTTCCCACAAAGGTTCATGAGAACTCTTTAGTTCATGAGAACTAAAGAGTTCTCATGAACTAAGTACAGATCGCGTTCACACTGGAATAAGTTCCCTGGGGGAGGATTAGGCAAATGAAGCCGCTGACGTCACTTGTTCTTCTTCTGCTTTGGGTTTACTGGCAGGCCGCAAACCACTTCACAGCTTATACTGCCACCCGAAGTCCCCGGCCGGAAGTCCCCGGAGTTGGGGAAGGCTTCAGTAGAAGCTGCTGGGACTCCCAGCAGCTTCTACTGAAGCCTTCCGAGTAAATCGCCAGAACGCCGACACCTCCTCATCTCCACCGCTCCCATGTTTTATTTTGTGTTGCCATGAGTTAGTCTCTCTGCGTTTCTGCGCTGGGCTAATGCTAATGCTAATAATGCTAATGCGAGGATAATAAAATGGCGGCTTCACAAAACTTTTTGGGAGTTTTACGGGGCGTGGTTTGCAATCCGCCCAGCCAATCAGACATAGGAACCTTTTTCTCCCACGAAAGTCCCTGCTCTCTAGCAGGGACGGAAAAGGGGGTGAAAAGGTTCTCATGAACTAATTTGAGTTCCGGCTCTTTTTGGTGTGAACGCAACATTTCGGAACTATATCGGAACTAAAGTGGGAAAAGTACTGCGGTGTGAACGCGCCTATAGTGAGACTTACGGTACGTCCATGCAGTTCCGTCGCGTTGAAGCTTGCCGGTGGGCGTGTCTGGTGCGCGACCAACAACCAATCACATTAATCTCCCGCCCCGGACACACAAAGAGCGTGTTTGATTGGCTAGCGCTGGTACTGGCATATGATTTGATTGGCTAGCGCTGGTACTGGCATATGATCTGATTGGCTGGCGCTTCCGTCGACGCTTGAAAAGTTGAACTTTTCTCAACTTTCAGCACGAGCAACAGAGGCAAAGCGATGCGACGGAACCACAATGCAGTTCGGCAAAGCGTGACGTTACCCCAATCAAAGTGAATGGGAAGCGTCTCCGTTGAAGCACGCAACGGAACCGTGTGGACGTACCGTTAGAGAGAGCAGTGCGAGGAGTTTGTTGTGTTGTATTTCAGGAAGTGAAGCCTAGAGCTATCTAAAAGATAATTAATGACATGACTGAATGTGTTTTTAATTTCCACTATGCAACTCTGCTATCAGCAACAATATATATTGAATACGTAGCACAGAGTCTTGCAGTGCTGTCTTGTCAGACAACCGCAACTTTGTCCATATGGGATTTTCCACTATCTCTCCCAGAATGCCTTTCTAGACAGCGCTTGTCAGAGTCGTGAGTAAGGGGGATTTACATTTAAGAAAGTGCTGCCAAGTTCAATCTCAGAATACAAACACTCAGCAGCTCTACATGTATCTGTCAAAGTGTTTGGAATGAGGATTAGATAATGCCAAATACTGAGTAATTTACAGCCGTTAATCAAACCAACAGACAGAGCCAGAGAAAATATATAAGTGAACTGCTACAAGAGCGAATACTTAAAATGCATGTGCATTATCGGTGTGTCATATGTCAATTCATGTTAGGCACTGGATGGTGATACTGCACTTACTGCCACAACTCATACCATAACTTTGTCTAATTATTGAGAAATACAGTAGCTTCTTTTGACCTTCAATATTAACGTCTATCACATTTCATGCCAATCCCTCTTTTAGTCGTATGACTTATCAACAAACATCACCATGTCAAAAAAACCCAAAAACAAATATATCACAGACTATTTATTTGACATATTATACTATTTATAAAATAGAATGCAAGATTTCAGACAAATTCATTGTATTGGTCAACTACAAATGATGTACACTTAGACCCCGGCCACACGAGGACGAAAACGGCTAAACGCATAGGATTAACGCAAACGCAATCGCAAACAAGCTTCCGTCCACACGGACAGCTATCCGGATAGTGTCTGCCCACACGAGACCGCTCCGTTTAGCTCCAACCGCTGGAGAAGCTGCAGTACATATGCAGGAGCCTGTACGTGGCGCTGTAACTTCCTCCACAAAAGCAGCGAAGAAGCATGGTTGTCATGGTTGCCCTTCTGTTTATTCTCCGCGGTGGGGGCCGAGGGAACCGGGCAGAGTTTTTCGCCAGTCAACGTGTATTAAAGTTTAAATCTTCCGACAAAATTATAAAAGTGCCGGTCAAAGGTCTTCTTTGTTATTTATTGAGCTTTAAAACAAATGAATAACGACTCTATATATTATAATAATAAAATACACGGAGCCTCTCTTTTTCCACCCTCTCTTTGGACAGCGTCAGTGTCTGTCTCATGCAGCAGCTGATCCAGTAATGAGTGACCCGGCCGACAGTAAAAATAAACATATTTATAACTAGTTTAGGTAGTTTGAGAGGTGTCTCCGTCCTGTCAGATTAGACTTCACTCGCGTTTATGTCCATATCGAGAGAAAGATAAATAATCTGAATTCAGTGTGCAGTTTACTTTGACGCGGGGGTGAGCAGCAGAGGTGGGGAGAGGCGGGGCTATTGCCTCATCATTATCAGAAAATGATCGCTGAAGCTGCAGTACATATCCACAAAAGCAGCGAGTAAGAATCCCCCCCGGATGTGTAAGTCTGCTGTAGATGTTGCACAAAGAACTGTAGCATGGTCAGTAGCGTCCGGAGCACGATAGCAACTCTGCGATCCGCCATTGTTGTTGTTGTTGTTGGTGGCGAAACACATCAGCAATGGCGCGGGGTAAGCGGAGGTGAGCAGAAGAGGTGGGGAGAGGCGGGGCTATTGCTATTGCGCAATCACTATCAGAACATGTTCTTATAGGGCGCACACACGGAGCCGTTTGACCCCCCAGAGCGTTGCGTATGCCGTTCTATCCACCTTGGGACCCGTTATCGTTTCCTCAGTCATTTAGTGTCGTATTCGGTCGTCCTCGTGTGGCCGAATGGTCTATATGACACTAAACAGTAACGCAAACGGCCGTTTTCGTCCTTGTGGCCGGGGCATTAGACTGACCAATCAGATTTCAGAGAGGCCACTTCCAGGTAGCCACTTTTGCATTGCCCTTGTTAAGCAACATACATATTACATGGGAAAGGGAAATTAAAAGTTACTTTTTAAAAAGGATTCTCGTGCAGAAATAAATATGTTTCTCGGGAGAAGTTTGGTTGTGGTCATTTATGTACTAGCTGGAAGTGGGAGGGGTAGGCTATTAACTAGAGGAATTGTTACTGTTGTCCACATTGGCTTCAATATCTAGCAGCGGTTTCATCGTTTGAACAAAATATTCAATTCACTGATCTAAGCCTGATGCTCAGCGCCACAGTACGATTAAAAACAATGCTCAAGTTGGCAACAATCTTGCACGAACCACATTGAGAATCCAGTGTACATGTCTCTTTTCCATTTTTTTGATTATGAGTTGTCATGTTTACAGGGTCTGCTTTCACAATGTTTGCCATTGGACTATAACTCACTCCAGCTTAAATCTGGATCCCCAAGTTGCTTTTCCGCGGTAGCACAGGGATGATTACCCGGGAGCAGGCATGCCACATAGCCAGCGCTCCAAAAAAGTGATCCAGTTTTTCATTCTTACAGTCTGATTGACGCCAAAGGTCATTATTTCAAAAGTTCTTCCCTATTCCCTGGAGGTTTGAACCGCACTCCAGAGAGTGGACTTCTACTCATACAATAGCAGTGTAGTCAGTATGTTCTGTGGGTAAAGCAAACATCATTTCTACCACAATGCCAGGATCTCAAACACAATGAAGTCACGTACAAAGTTTTCCTCTAAATTCTTCCTCATGCGGCACAACGCATTGTTTAACTGCGTCACTAGGGACAGATATTTACAGTGAGAAAACCAAATGCCCTTTCCCCCAAAGTGCCCTGGCAGCGATTGTACTTTGTGAACAATGGACAAATCTTCAGATGCACTTGGGTTTATCAAACTGATTTTTGAGCAGGTAAAGGCAGTCAATCAATAGCATTTTCAAGATAAAACAACAATCTTCCACCTCTATTTGGCTGAATGAACTTTCACTTTCAGTGGTAAGCTTATCAATTTTGTCATCTTTTTTTCACACCACCTCTTCAGCCCATCTTCACCTCTATCTCTCTTTTTCTGTCTTTTTCTATCATCTCGCTGCATCTGTGTAAACAGTAACATCTGCCCTCTAAACTTGTGAGGAGAGCTCTCTTACGTAATGTTTAGATTAGTCTGCAAGGAGTCTTCTCTCAGCGTAATGCTATCCAGGATCCATGCCTCCCATAACTCTTAAAACTCAGACTGAGAGCACCTTGATGTCCATATTTCAAGTCTCTGTTCTGCTGCTGCGCTCAATTCTTTAGCTGTTTATAACTTTTTCTTTCATATCCTCACTACCATTTTGTGGTCGCCTCTCCTCAGCTTGCCCAAACGGTTATTTTGTGAAGGATATATTGTGGACATTTGGGCTGAGTTTTGGGTTTCGCTGTAAAATCAAGTTTTCTAGGAGCCATGCCAGATATTAATTTGAGGCACTTGCCAGAAACAGCTCCGGCAGGATGCTGGTTTTACTGGAGGCACAACGCCGGGCTGGTGACTCACTGAAAAACACGCCATTGATTGAAGTAGTACAT